ACTACATTAAGAGTTTCTACATACAAACACACACACCCCTACCAAGTTTCATATAAAAAAAAATTCCTATACATTGAACACCATTGCATTAAACTTTGATTCTATACAACTTCATTGTTCACCAAATTTCTTCTCTCTCTCTCCCCTTTCCATTCCTACGGATGCAGCAACTACAAGAATCAACAATGTTCTTTGATGACTTGTTGGCTTCAAAATTGAAAAGAAATTTCCCAGCAAGTATTAGCTATGAAACATGAACCTAAGGTCATGTTTGTTTGGGTGGACATGAGCTTGGGATTGGACTAATAGTCTAATAAAATTATTAATCCGATATTTGGTTAAACAATTGAAGTACGGACTAATTATTTTAAACTTGACTATTAGTTAAGATAGGATACATAATCCAACGGATTCGTAATCCTAGGACTATTAGTCATGGGAATGCTAATCCAGTCCGTTCAAACAAACATGGGTTAAGGGTAGTCCAATAATAACCTTATATGCAAATATGTATTCAACCTGCTTATGTCAACAACTATAAAGAAATCATAGCATTGTAACCGATTACTAGCCCACAATATATGAATAAAACTAACCAGTGACTCAATCCAAAAGGCTTATAAATGCTTTTGGTCTTTATTACAATACACTGGAAACCATTTTATATAACTTGTCAATCAGGAAAAAGTACCAACCAAAATATCTCTAACTAGTTTACAGTTAAAATACCATAAATAGTTGTACGACAATCTCTGACATTGGCAACATAGAAGCTTTTCTTTTTCTCTCAAAATTTAGATATAAAACCACAAATATGAAACCAAAAATGAAAGGCATAATAAAAGAATCTGAAGAAACAATTCAACTATTCCAAATCGTGGACACATTTAACTGACAAAAAACTATCCATACCCAGCACCTTGTAAGCAGCCTTGTTACATTGGACACCATCACACCATAACATTTAGTACCAAGAGTACAACTACAACAAAATCAAACCAACTGTGAATGAGTCATAGAACAAAATTTAGAATAGGTGACGTTTTAGTCATATGTGGCATCCATTTTGCAGATTAATTTGTTATTATTATTATTTTTATTTTATTTTTTTTGGGGTGGGGGGAACCAATGACCACATAATGGACACAAAACAAAACTACAAAATATAACTATTCCCTTAAAAAAAATCTAGATGGTAAATCCAACACAACCAAACAAAAAGCTAGAGAGGAAGCCCATTCCAAAGCAGAGTACTCGTAATAGAGGCAAAGTTGGGTGGTTGTGTTTTATTAGTCCATAATTATATTATTTGCCAGCTATTACGAGTTCACCAATTCCTCTTTCATCCCAAACCAAACCAAACCAAACCAAACCAAACCAAACCAAACCTTACGTCCCATCAAAAAATGTACAAAAAAATAAATAAAAAGAATAGTTGAGTTTTTGTATTTACTTTTTAACCTTTTTATTTTCTGCCAGTGAGTTTTTCTTTACTGGGCCCTTTTAATGACTGCTGTGATGGGAGCCCGATCAGCATTGATTTTCTTTCTGGTTGTGATTTTAATTCTTGAGAAATGTTTGAGAGCTCTAGGGAGAGAGCTCTAATAGCTCTAATGTGTATGTGGAGCCCCATCTGATGTGATGTTTTGGCCTCGAATTTTTATTTTATTTTATTTTATTTTTTATTTTTCCCCTCACTAGAGTTCAATTAGACCTCAGTTTTAGGGGTTATATCATTGTTGGTTGTGGGTGTTGTGGCCAACTCCTCCTGCTCTAAAGTCTACAAGAAAAACTTCAAAATCAAAAATCCAAGTGCTCTGTAGACAAAGCCCCCAGATTATTTCTATTGAATTGGATCGGATAATCAAGAATTAGAATTTAAAATACATAAATAGAACTCAATATCTTCATTGACCCTAAAGTAAAGAAATGCCTGTATTGTATAGATAAACATCCAAACATCAATAATTTCAAAGCATCCCTCAAAGTATCAGGAATACCCCAAGATCCAACAAAGAAAAATCTGAAGCAACCCTAATCAATAATCATCAGTCACAGACAAAGTAAGCCTACTCATTGTGCTAACCACGAACCCATCTTATCAAAATATGTAATTGTACTATAGTTTAGTATCAGAAAGATAAGCCACAAAATGTTGGTTCTCTTTGGTTTAGTTTTAAAATTATGATTTGAGTATGGAGTTGTAACTTGAGTGTAAAATTGTGAATTGAGTTTTGAAAAGAGAAAATTTATTTGATTATGAGTTTTGAAAAGAATTTTTGAATTTTAAATTTTAAAAAGAGTTTTGAGTTTTATTTTAAATTTTTTGAATCTATTTTTTTTAAATATTAAATAATGTTTAAGAATATTTTATTTTTTTATTTTCAAAATACTATGATAAGCTTACTTGGTACAATTTTCACATAAATAAATTTCGTAGATAGATTCTTATTGAAATCATTCACAGTTAGGTGAATCAACCAAAAGCCTCAAAAAGCATATCAAAATTTCAACTTGATAGAAAACCCTCCAATAACAATCCACAAATAGCAGCATCAACAAGATAAATCAGAAAAAGAATTTTACACATGAGGTGTGATTTAAAGAAAAATTCAAAATTTAAATCAAACGAACAATTCGATCTAAAGGCGTGAACTTGACTTCGAAAGCAAACCTTACAGAGAGACAATCGAAGAAGAAAGAGGAGTGGCAGTGGCAGAGGTGGTAGTGGTATCGTTGTCGCCATGGAAGAAAGCTTGGGTGCTCGGTCTCGACTTCTTCATCAAGACAGTAGCGCCGCTGGGGTTTTGAAAGAAAGGGAGGAGAAAGAAGGTGGAGAGAGAGAAGTGAAAATTTTATTTTTTAAAATTTTTTATTTTTTATATTTTTATTGAATTTTTAATTTTTAAATAAGTTGAATTGTATTTAAAAAAAAAAATGTTTTTATACTAATAAATTTATCATTGAAAGTTAGAGCAAAACTTGTTGCAAAATAAGTCTGGTTCATAGAAACGATATATAACTATCTATATTTTAATATATTAATTTTTTTAAATATTTTTTTATAAATATTTTATTTTTAGATACATCTAAGTAAAGTATATTTAAAAAAGTAAAAAAAATTGTTTAAAATTTTAAAAATATTCACTAAAAATAAAAAATATAAAAAATAAAAAAACTTAATTTCTAAAAAATTAAATTTAAAAAATTAAAACCAAATTTATCGTATTTTTTTTCATAAATATAATAATAATAATCCAATTCCAATCAACCGCGCCAACCCAATCCTATCCTAATTCTAGTGGAAAGAGTTTTCCTATTCTACTAGAAATCAATTATAAAAAATAAAAAATAAAAAAATAAAAAAAACTAAATCTATAAATACACATAAGACCAACATATGAGAGAGAGAGAGAGAGAGAGAGAGAGAGAGAGAGAGAGAGAATATATTGGCTAAAGGCTCTCCGATTGATCTCTAAATTCAAGACAAGTAGTTGAAACTCTCAGTTTGAGGTAACTTTCAGATACTGTGTTTTGATTATTGTGTTGTGTTTGTAATTCAAAATTCTAAATATTTTTATTTTTTTTTATATAATACTTTCATATATTCTCGATTGGTTTATTAGTTATATATACATTCATTCTTACATTTTAGAAAGAGTTATATGTATTTCATATCTCAAGTAAATTTATCAGAACTTTATATTAATTTTAGAGCATTGTTATTTATGCATAAAAATTAGATTTACTTTTTAGACTCAATAATGTGTCAAGAAAACATTAGTTGATAATTAATATATAAACCTTGATATTGACATAAAATGTTTCATATGTCTGGTTTTTCCAAAATACTCTTATAGTTAGTGTTTATGTGAAATTATTTGAATCAATTTAAGAAATATTCTTACTACTTGAACAACATACAAAATATATACTTTTAAATCAAATTAAAATTGATATTTTATAAATTTAATAGCACACCTATCTAGGCACACACCCAACCATGGTTTATAATGTGTGTACCCTAGGAAGTTATACATGTATATTTATATTTTTTTTTGTTTTTTTGTTGGGAAAGTAGTTATGCAAATTTGTGATAAAAATTATTAATGAAAAATTTACAGTGTATATGAATTTTTTTTATATGACATTTTTTTTTTTTTTGTAGTGGGTAAATAGTTATATATGGGTTCGTTTGGGATGTGGGTTGATTTTTTGACTTTTTGAATATTTTAGTTTGAAACTAAAAAGTCTTGTTTGAGATTTTTTTTTTTTGTTTTTTTGACTTTTGTTAAGAAAAAATAAAATAATTATAATTTGAATGTGATATTTTATCTTATTATACTAAAAATTCTATTTTATCCTTTTGTAATTATTTTAGTCCCAACCCAACCTAATCCAACCCAACTTTCCAAATGAGTGCTATAAATATTATGTTATTTTAAGATTCGTGTTCTAAGTTTTTGTGGATCACTCTCCTAAAGGCGAAGAGAATAAATAATTTGAATCAAATTCAGAATTTGTGTTATTATGGCACGAAGCCATCTATTTTTTATGAGCCATTTTTTGGTACGAATATTATAAGCTTTATACTTTCATCGTCTCTATCTTTTGCATAACTTATCTTGGATCAAATTCTAATTTTTTACTATGAATTTGTCAATTTAAACTTGTGGACATGAAGCCTGTCTCTAAACTACATGAGGACAATGTATTGAATATATTACATAAATTACCAGCAAAATCACTTGCTAAATTCAAGTGTGTCTCGAGGCGTTGGCGCGAATACATCTCTAGTCCCTCTGTACACGATTGCTGTCGTTCCCGTAGACGGAAACCCACACTACACATGATGGGTTTCTTCTTCCAAGAACAGGAAAGTCGTAGGCGACTACAAATTCGATTTTTATTCAGTTCCACCAAAAAAGAGAAAATGGATAATGATTTAGATGAATCTGTTAGTTTCCTTGGCAGGACCGCTATCTTAGTTGCTTCTTCTAATGGTTTTCTTCTCTGCAATCAGAACAGAAATCATCAGATGCGGTATTATATCTATAATCCAGCCACTAAGCAGTGGGCAGCCTTGCCAAAACCCCCAAAATGCTATAGAAGCGTGGCTACTGGGTTTGTTTGTAACGACAACACATGCATGTGACCCATACAAAGATTCTATCTGCTACAAGGTTGTGCGGTTTGGGATTCCAAAATGTTTCATTGATATACAGTCGATTGTAACAATTGAGTGCTTTTCTTCTGAAACTGGTGCTTGGATGACCGTAAATCTTATACCCGATGTGCCTCTTCCATTGTTCCCAACAAATGATCCAGCTGTTGTAATTGATGAAGTTTTCTACTGGTTAGATATTGGGCCGAGGATAATTGCTTGTGATATGGTACAAAGACAATGTTGGGTTATGAATTTTCCAGGAGAGCCCAAGGAAGTATCCTCAATGTGTCTAGCTGTGTTGAATGGGCATCTTCACTATGGAATAGCGGACGATGTATCCATTGAGATATGGAGTCTTGAGGGCGATTTTCGCTGCAGATTGGCTCGATGGCATATGAAGCATAGAGTTAGTGTTGTGAGCTTAGCTAACAGGTATCCGGAAATTTTTGGCTTGGTTGATAATCTTATAATTAGTGCTGTGGTTGGATTTCATCCTGCTGATGAACACCAGATTGTTTATTTAAATTTGCGCCGTAAAGTGATCTCCTACCATATCGACAATGGAGTAGTTGAAGTGGTGCATGATTTTGGTGTTCCTGAATGGATGACAAGAAATTATAAGTTCTTTCCTTATGAATGGCACGAGTGGCCGCGTGTTATTTAAATTATAAAGTACATTAGAATGATTACTATATGCTTATTTTTCTGAGTTGGTTATTTTTTTTCCACTGACGATAATGGTGTGAACATTTTTTTCCTTTATTATTATATCAAAACTGTGCTCTTGGAGTAGAATATTGTAATTTTATACTAGAAGAAATTGAAATGGACAACATAATGCTTGTTTCTATGCATGATTCATAATTTATCCCTGTAAATCATAAAGTATTATAAATTAACGCAGCGGATAAAAATAATTCGTATCATACTTTAATGATACAACCTCGTAGGTAAATCACGTGCTTCCAAAATCTGATCAGTCAACGGACCCAGCTTGCCACTACAAAATGAGTATCACCCACACAAGTCACAGTGCAAAATGGCTTGATCGTTGTTTTCTGGGAGAGAGTCAGAGAGAGAGTCTGGGAGAGAGTCTGAGAAAAAATGTTATGGGTAAAAACCACATAACGTATATATGATATACGTATATCTTTAGATTAACCATATAATCTGATATATAACCAATATCTATCTATCCATCTATCCATATCTATTGATATGATAGATATAGATATCCTGAATGGTTATCCAAATAAGTTTTGAATTCAAATTCAAACTTACATGGATAAGGTTCAAAAGGTTCAGGTTCAAAAGGTTCTAAGGGTCATGCCACATGGGCGCCCAATTTCTAACATCTCCCACTCGGACATGAGTTGGCATGACACTGCCACATTTCTATCTCAATCTCCCCAAAAAATAAGCAATCTCATACTAGCCACTGCACCGTACGACTGCTGAGAATACCTGTATGTGGGAGCTCTATACTAGAAACTCAAAATGAGTCTGCATAGAGACATCAACCCAAAAAGAACAGAAATAGTGTCTCATATATCCCAAACCCATCTAATTACACCGGTCCAAAAAACATCTCTAATCCCTCAAAAGAGCATGTTTGACCCTCTCAATTCTTGCAATATGTTCACACTCAATCTACTTCTCATACAGAGCGATGTGAGTTGCTGGCAGTGAATATACAACAGTGGTGTAATACTAGATGATCTTCCCTTTGCCCTCATGCCATTTAGTTTAGGATTGACCGTTTTCCCAATGATATCCCTTAAGGCCGAATCATACATGACCGCAGGCAATATACCAAAGTAGCAGAACATCAACCCCTTACCGTATGACATAGTCAAAAGTCACAAAAGGATACATAAATGAAAGTCATATCAATAATGACACGTAAGACTCACACGGTGAGGAAACAGGGATCCATTCCCTCACCTCATTACTCGGTCGCCAAACACATGTAGTATGAATACATGTTACGGTGGAGTAACTCTTCCAAAAAAGTGACGTCATACTCGATACACCGTACAGATCTTAGTCTTGTTGCTTTCTAGCGCCTAACCCGAATTCTCTATTTGCTCGCCTTCTAAGCGCCAAATGACATCTCGCATCTGGCTAATCATAACAGGCACAACATGGAAAGTGGGTACTAATATCCATGTTTGATCCTTAACACGACCTCATCTTGGTTGTAACCAAGGCTCTTGTTTTTTATTCCATTTACCTCTCTCTGCAAAGAGAATTTGTGAGTAGTGGGAGTTCAGGATGGTGGAGCACAATTTGAATTTTGTGAAATTACCAGTTTGCCTTTATTTTAGAGAAAGTGTCGTGGATTTGTTTTGGAAGAAAACAAGGAGCACCAAAACACAATGTTGTCATGACAACCGAAGCACGTACAATAATTTAAACCAACATGATCAAATTCAAGAAAGAGCATGTAACTTGGAAGCAAAAGCACTGATAAAAGATGGAATTCTGAAGAATATAACATCCGAATTCTAAGGCAACACCTCAAAAATGCTACTCTATTCAACAGACATGTACCCAATGGTTGCCAACTGTGACATTGTGCGACCAAAATTAGTTTGGTTGCCAATTGTTACTTTTCGCGACCAAAACTGTTGGTCGGCAAAAGTGAGTTTCCACGACCAACAAAATTTTTGGTCGGCAATAGATGTATTTTTTGCGACCAAAACTCTTGGTCGGCAATTGTCATTTTTCGCGAAAAAAAATAATTTATTTGTCGCGACTAATAAATTGGTCGCCAAAGCAGGAAAATAATACACCTGTAATATTTAGCGAATTCATAATCAAAATAGGACGAATTCATTATCAAAACAGGTCTTATTATAGAATTTTCTATATCCAAGTTTCAACACATAACTCAGCAGCAGCAACATATAAATGTCAATTGATCAATTCAGATAAATGTCAAGGAACTGAGATAGTGGCATCATATAAGACCAAGTCAATTGACAAGTCAATAAGACCAAGTCTCAAGCCTTCCATCTTCAACTCCCAATGCCACCTCACAATGGATAAGGAGATGGCTAACCAATTTCTCATCATGTTTATACATACAACACCAATTAACATGCACTTGCGTTCTGCTAATCAAATTGTCAAAGCACCACATCACAAATAGGAAACTCCGAGGAACTATCACTTTTATTTCAACTTGCTTTGGAAATTCATAAAGGTGAACACCTGAGGATTCTAGACAGTATTATATTTCATACACCTCTCTTTTAAAAAAAAAATATAAGCAATGCTCTCCAATACTAGAAACGACTTTTGCTTGGGACATGGAAACTTGATCTTTTACATGTATATTTCTTTTTCTCCATTAATGAAACCATGTTTGAATTTTGATGGTCCAATTTGGCCAGTATGTAAAAATAAAAGGTCTGAGCTTACCTTCAATTTGTAGATATGCAATCCACATTGACTGAAGAGCTCCTTGAAGTATAAGTCTGACCTGGTAACGCTCTTATCTTCTTTATCCAACACAAATCCTAGAAAACATGTGATATGTAGTTTAGCAGGTATTCATATTTTAAAAACCTCCAGCACTGCCTAGTGTATAAGCAAGGCTAGGCCAAAATGAAATTGAATCAAATCCACTTTTATCTCCTAAAAGAATGCTCAATGTGGTAAAATATTAATTGGCCAATAACACTCCAAAAAGGAGATGATTTGAGCAGCAATCAACCAAGAGAAGTGGAAAACTTGTTTGAATGATCCTCCTCAAGGCTGCTGCTAGTAGTTGTGGTAGTAGTAGCAGTAATAATAGCAATAATAACATGATGATAATTAACAAATTAGACCTTATTTTCTTAGGATCGTACACAATTTTAGAATCATTTACACTCATGATTAATAAAATTGAGTAATTTGACAATATCTAACAATTTTTAATTCGTAACAACATTGATTTTTTCTTTTTTTAATTTACATATATATTTAGATATATTTCAGTTCATTTTTTCAAGCATTTTTTATTCAAATTCTTTTTGTCACCTTCAAAAAGGTTCCGAAACTTCACCTAAATGTTTCTATTTTTGTGAATGGAATGACATACTGAGAAGTAATTCAATCCTACCTAGGAGTCTATGTGAAGTTCCATATTTGCTATTCTTCTTATTTCCATACTTGTCATCATCAGTATGTGTACTTAGTTTGGTTTTATTTAATCATTAAATTTTCGAACCTCAAGACTTAAGCATTCACAGGATACTTGGGATTTCAAATTGCTTTCAGACATCATCAGTATTTGACTGTTGTCAGCTATTGTGCTAGATAGTTGAGGTCAGCCTGATTCCTCTTAATTTCCCCCAAAACAAGAGAAAGAACCATCCTTACATGCAAAATATGAATAAACATTCAACCATACCATAAGTTTATCTCATTTTCTCCAATTTCAATATCATATTTACAATAGATGTCTAGGCATACATTTCGCCTACTTAAATTTCAAATCAACAATGTTACAAGTGTAGAGATATAGAAGCTTTTAAGCCTTACACTAAAAAAAAAAAGAAAAAAAAAGGGCTTTTAAGTCCTGAGTTGACTATACATTTCTTTTTATTTTTCCTTTATTTTAATAGGAGGCCACTAGTTCAGTGGGTACCCATCTACCCCTCCCAAACCCCCCATCTAATGGGGTACTAAACTGGGTATACTTTTTATTTTTCCCTTAATTTGATTTGGGCATCACATCTCTTTTGTCAATTCTTTCATTTGATTGTCTCTTGGTTGATACAACACAATACGAAGATGAAGACAAAAGAAAATATTAGTTTGTGCCCAATTAATAATAAACTGTGAAAGATGGAACTCAACTAATATTAAACCTAATGACAAATTTCAAAAAATATAGGATATGACAAGTGGAAAACATGCACACACTATATAGTTGAATATACTTACTACATGGCATAGATAATGATAAACAATTATTAAATGTCATATACATGACTATTTAATATAGTAATAATAAAAATAATAATTTTAAAAGTTCAAAGGAGAAGAAAAAATATATAAACTTACGTTATTTTTCTTTAATAATTTGATTTCAAGCTATTTCATTCAAAATTATAATGTGATTCATGTATGTTTAAGAAATAGACACATATTTCTTAAGTGTAAGAACTATGTCCAAGTAAACAAATTTTAAAGATATGTTCGGACATATGTTCGACAAATGTTGCGAATTGTTCGACGAGTGTCATGCCGTGTTAGTGTCCAACATGATACGACACCTTCTTAGAAGTGTTTGTGCTTCTTAGACTATGACTTTTATTAATTTATGTTCTCAATAGCGATATTATTTTCCTTAAATAGAACGGTTCATTACATGCCAGACTAGTGAGGTTATGTATATGATGATGTGACATCTTCTTCCAGAGCATAAAATCTGAGATATATTTAGGGGGGTGTTGGGTTGTGTTTAGTGTTCAAAATTAACACTCTCATTTTAAATTATATTTTTGATAAGTAAAGTCATTTTCTAAATGTTAGAAATGCTTCTACAAGACAGTCATTTTCTAAATGTTAGACATGCTTCTACGAGTATCCAAGAAGTTGGTGTTTGACACTAACACAACACCTCACTGGAAGTATCTATCACCATTGAAGTGTACATGCTACTTGATC